CACGCGCCCGGGCCGCCCTCCGCGTCGCGCCGCAGCTGCTCCGCTAGCACCTTGAACGGCGGCGACCGCGGCAGCCTCACGGCCCCCGAGCCGCCGCCAGAAAATGAGTCAGCCGCCGCCGCAGCCGCCATGTCCACCAGCCGCCGCTGCCTTCCCGCCAACTTTGATGGGCGGTGAGGCCCGACCCTCGGCCACCAATCACGGGCGCGCTGGCGGAGCCAGCCAATGGTCGGCGTTGGGAGGCGGGGCTTCCACACGCAACTCCAGAATGCGCATGCGTATGTCAAGTAAATAAACGCCCCCAAGTTAGGACTGAACAGACGGAATGAAATACAGAACGAGTGAGGAGGGATAGAATAGTTTCTTTCTTTTCTTTATAAGTTTATGCATGCAAGAACTGCGGTCTAGACCAGTAGTGAGATGGGTAAAAGGACTCATCAGCAACAAAGTGGGGAGCAGCAGGGAGACAGGAGAGTTCTGCTGTGCCCCGTGGGTCACTTTCCTGGGCTGGGAATCAAACTCATGTTGCAGTGACTGGTGACAGCTTGATAGCGCTGAGACTGTTAACTCCTGTGCTACAAGGGAGGCCAGGAGAGAACTGTTTCAATGCATCTAAACTTTGGCGTGCATGCAAATATTGTAGGATGTGAGTATTCATCTTTACGTTGCCTTGCACAGTTGGGTATGCTGAGTAAATGGTAGTAAATAAATAATAATAAATAAATAAAAATACTAAAACGAGTAGTAGAAGAGTGAGCCCCTATTTATTTGGAGTACCAAGCCTCAAGTCAAGAGATAAGGCAGGAAGAGACAGTGACAGCTGGTAAATTTAACATTATAAAAGAGGTTAAGAGTTAGTAAAATACAATACTTTTTTTTTAACAGAGGAAATATACATTCATTGTAGAAAATTTAGAAAAGAAAATCTAGAATAATGTAAAACTTTCTCAGATATCCACTATTAACTCTTGGGAGCACAAGCATCCAGAATTTTAAAGTATATGTTGTTGCTAAACAAATATTTTGTATATTGTTTTCACTTAATAGTGAACATCTTTTTATATCAGCAAATATCCCTCTGATATTTCTGATAACAGAATATTCCATTTGTCTTATATGTTGAACCAGTTTCAAAAGAGTCAAACATTAATCGTTACACACGTTTCAAATAAATTCCTAGAAATGGAATTTCTCCCTGGTTTTGGATATTTCCCATCAGCAAAATTCACAAGTCCTAAACTAAGTCACTTAAAAGCCAGGAACAGCCCTTGGAAACCATATGCTTAGCGCCTCCTTCAGTACCAGGATACAGAAGGGATCCTCAAGAGATTGATTTTCATGAAGCAGCTAAGACGAACCATGCCAGGCCCTGTACTAAGAGCTAGGTGGAGACCATCAGATAGACTCTCACCCAGGCAGTCTCTGTTCTATACTGATGGGGAAACTGAGGCTTAAGGAGCTAAGCAGCTTGCCATGACCTCTCTGGCAGTGGCCTCTGGAATCCTAACTTTTTTTTTTAAAGATTTTTTTATTTATTCATATAGAACTGGGGTACAGGCCAGAGGTGCAAAGGGTAAGAGACAGAGCAGGGAGCAAAACAGGCAGATCGACAAAGTACACTGCTGAGGGGAGCAGCCGGCGGGTCAGGAGAGGTCTGCCGCGCCATGTGGATCTCCTCCAGGGCAGGGGGGGGAATCGAACTCATGCGGAAGTGGCTTAAGCTTCTCAGTGCAGTGCTTTAACCCGCTGCGCCACCAGGGAGGGCCGAGTCCTAACTTCTTTACCTCAACCCTAATCCTAGAGTAACCAGGCACCTAGGATAAGAAGGGAACAGGGATCCTAACCCAGAGAGAACATGAGGTCCAGGCCCTCCACACCTGTGGGTTCCAACTGGCCTTCCGCAAGGCCCCGGGGTGCCAGAAAAATGATGGGGGGCGGGGAGGGGAGTTGGAGTGGAGGTAGGGGCTCCCAGTCCTCCAGTCTGAGCCTGGAAATCTCTCACCATTCTCTTAGCCTTCAAATCTGTAGACAAACAAACACCCATACACACACGTGCGCGCACACACCTCTCCAGCCCCATACCACGTGGGTTGTGGGCAGAGTGATCGCTCCATAACACAAGTCTGAGCATATCAGTGCCTGGTTTATAATCTCCTGAAGATCTAATCCAACCGGGGGGACTGCACCTGGAGGGCCCAGAAGGAGAGCGAGCAGGGGCCTTAAGCAAATTGCCAGTATTTCTGAACAACCAGGACATCTAGGACAAATGGAGGAGTGGAGCCAGATGAGGCTGTGCCTACAGAAACACAGCTCTTTCTTTCTTTTAAAGTTTATTTATTTATACACAGAGAACTGGGGTAAAGGTCAGAGGTGCAGGGTGCAGTGAGAGGATTCACCAGAGTCAGTGGAGAGCAGAACAGACAGACTGATGAAGTACACTGCTGAGGGAGCAGCGGGCAGGTCAGGAGAGGTCTGGGGCGCCCTGTGGGTCACCTCTGGGGCAGGGATTTAACTGGTGCTGCAGCGGCTGCAGTAGCTTCATAATGCTGTGCTTTAACCCGTTGGCCACCAGGGAGGGCCCCAGAAACGCATTTCTTATCCCCATTTTACAAATGCTAAAACTGAGGTTCAGGCCAATAACAAGCCTGAAGGCTTGTAGCTAGTGAGGATAGAGCCTGCACTCAAATCCAAGTGCACCTGACCCCAAACTTCATGTTCCTTGAACCTCATGTGCCTCTCACTGCTGCAGAGGTGGGGCCGAAGGAAGAGGTGGGGAGACAGGCAGCCACTTGATCATCCAAGTCTCAAAGAATGATGTCAGGCAAAAGTCCGCCCACTGTGGGGCTAAATGACCAGAGCCAGTGCTTGGAAGTTGACCACTGGTTGTATCAGAGGGCAGGGAGAGAGGGGCACTGCTGAACCCCCAAACCTGCCTGCCCTAAATAGGTTCTGCCATCCGCCGCATCAAGAGAAAGCATAGAAGACTTTAATGAAAAAGAATTTAATACAGTGAGTCTACAATACCAAAGACAAAGAATCTAACTTCTAAATCAAACACCTGCAGTGACCCATCCCCACGTGGGCAAAAGTCCACCCAAGAGGGACTGGCCCAGAGCAAAGCCTGAAAGCTGCCACAAGACTAAAGCACCTTCTGGCTGGGACCCATAGAAAAGGGTCAGACAGATCCAGACAAGTCTGGGAGGAAAAGAGCAACATCAAAATCAAGATAAACGCTGCCACAGTCACCTCCCCACGGGTCTCTCACCCACGTCTGTGTCCCCTAGTCCAGGACCAAGAAACAAGCCTGGTTTCTCCATCACATGCTCCCTGCTCCGTGTGGCTTCCTCAGGGCTCTTTCTGGCCTCCGCTTCCATCCTGCTTCCTTCTTCCTTCAGATTCCTTCTCTCTTCTCTCCTTTTCTCTGCTCAGCTCCACCCTCCTTCTGGGTGGGGCAGGGAACCTGGAACTTCCCCTTCTCCTGGGGCCCCCTGTTGCAGTTGTCAGGGGCTGGAGGAGGACACTGATGACAAGGGGTCAGTAGGGGGGTGGGTGGGTGGGGGAGTCAGAATTGCTTTATGACCTGGCTATGCTGGTAGTTTCATGAACCTCAAAACCCATAGAACTGCAAGCAAACACATCCCCGAGTCCCCAGGCCAGGTGATTCTTGAGAATGCAGGAACACACCGATCCGCTGCAGGAGACTCACACAGCGCCCCGGAAAGTCCAACAGGATGTAAATGTCTATGCTTAAAGTGAGGGGGACGAGGGGTGGCGGGGAATGCATAAGAACACCCTCTGTCTGGTGGGCACAGAGCGTGAAAATACTCTGGAACTACAGAACAGAGGGGGTGGTCGTAAAACATTGTGACTTTCGTTAGTGACCCTCTGAATTGTACACACTTTGAAATTATGGTGTTTCTGTGAATTTTATCTTTATTTGAAAAACAGCAAATATAGTTCAACCCAGAAAAAAATATCCAGGGATAACCATGCCCTAAATCTACTCCAAGAAACCCAGGCCTCAGAGAGGCAAAGTAACTGACCCAAGGTCACAGCCAGCAGGAGGCTAAGCCTGAATCAGTCTGTGTCCAAAGCGCCAGACTGGATGTGTGTGACATCCACGGGTCGTAGGTGACAAAATAGCTTAGATGTTGCCCCTCAAAGAGACAGGTTATTACCTGGAGGTGCAGGCCAGCTGTTTGGCTTCAGCCCAGAGTGACCGCGAACCAATATAGGTGAGTTTTTGGAAAACACATTTCCTAAGCCAAAAATGGAGACCCAGACCCCACTCCGCGGGTCCTTCCTTCCGGAGTGTAAATCAGTGTGAGCTTATTTATGTGAAAATTCTTCCAGGACTGTAAACAAGAAACCCGAGTCCTTGCATTGTACCTGTAAGGGACGCCGTTTCCCGAAATGATCACAGTTCTGTGAAAGTGGAACCATTCTAGAAAGTCGAGACTGGGCGTTGCCATGCATACTTGCACTTTAGAAAGAAAAAGCCTCTGAGCCAGCAGTAAATAGAGATGTCTGCTTCTTGTGAAGGATGAAGGACGAAGGACAGGAAGTGGGGCCGGGCTACTGAACCGGCCTCCAGCTGCACACCTGCTGGCGCTGGGCTGGGGTCGGGGAGCAGAGGTGGGCGTGCCGGCCACCAGCGGGAGCCTCAGAGCACATTCCCCAAGCCGGATGCCCCAACTGCCAGGGAGGGCAGTTTCCTAACTGCCCTGGCTTTTCTGGGGGGTCATGACCCTTATTTCAGGTTCACCAAGGCACCCAGCCCTCCAACCTGGGAGCCACCCCCGAAGGACTCAACCCGCAGCCTTACAGGGTTGAGACACTGTTGACTGAGCCCAGCTGGCAAGAAAGGAAGTGTGAATCAGCCCCAGACATCCTTCAAAACCCTCTTATTGGGGTTCCACGGTTGCCAGCTGCCAGACAGCATTTGCTTGACCTGGGGCGGGACGCTGGGGCACCGTGCACAGATACAGGGGTGCAGGGAAGCTGGGGGCTCTGACTGCGGTGTCTGGAGACAGCGTGGCTTGGCATAGGGGGACGCGGGAGGTGAGAAGTGGTGGACTTCGGTCCAGCCCCCGAGAGCGGCAAGGATGACACCTGGCATCTGAGCACCTGG